TTGGAAAAAATTCATTGTTTGTCATTGTTGGTTACATGTGCAGTTGATGAGAGGAATTTGGTGGAGCATGGGCCGCATTCTTCCAGGTATATATAATTTACTTAGCATCAGAAGCTTCAGCTTGGTCTTATTTTGATTCCATAACCATCCCATGGATTACCTAATTTTTTACATCTATTATGTGAAAATTGGTATACAATTTTGATGATCTAGTGCTATTTATTTTAAGTTTTTGAAATTGATTTAATCATTTTTTTTCAAGTAATTTGTTAATTTTGACATGCACTAATGTCTTGATGTTTTCTGGTTTCCTTTTTATTTTATTTTATTTTTCACAATGGTACAACTAAATTTAATTATAAGTGCATTGGATGGGAGTGCTTTTGTAGAACAACTTTTGGACATCATCAAACCAAGGGTAACTTTGGAACATTTATATCTCAATGTAATATGTTGGAACTTTGATCTTATGTTCAATTGGGTACATAATCTCCTTTATAAGTATTGGAGGACTTAAGCATTGGGGACCTACTCTTCTATCATTATCATTGTTATGATTTTCCTGATTGTAAAACTTTTAGGGTACTGGTAGGGGGAACTGCATTAGAAGTTTAGATATTGCTTGTAGCCTTTTGGTCAAGTTTGCTGCTTGGTAGTTTCACTAACCTTTTTCATATGCTGGACTTACAGAAATGCCTCCTATGTTTTAATCTCCCACTGGCAAATGTCCTTGTTTCTTTTACATATGTACTATGAGAAGTAAGTAGACTCTCTTTCTCTATCTCCTATGTTTCAATCTCCCACTAACCTTTTTCATATGCTGGACTTACAGAAATGCCTTCTATGTTTTAATCTTTCGTCGGTGACTGTCTTTATCTCCCACTGGTTTGTCTTTGTTGCTTTTACCTATGCACTAAGCGAAGTTTAGCAGATGGGCCTAAAACCAGGGTGAAATTATACCAAAACTATCGAACTGGGCCACCTGGCCCGCAAAAATAATATAAAATTAGGCCTCTTAGCCCCAAAAGTTTAGCTATGGAGCCTAAAAGCAGGCCTCGTGGCCCAAAATGTTCATCAAATTGGGTCTTGATGCCCAAATGTTTGGTAATTCGGCCTAAAATGTTTGTCAATTGGGCCTAAAATGTCGACATAACTGGGCCCTGGCCCAAATGTGCAAAATTAGGTACGCACTTATGCCCAAAAGTCTAATCAGCCGGGTCTCGAATATTTTTTGGGCCCCAATGTTTGGTTATTGGGCTCAAAATATTAGCCGAACAGGGCTCGTGGCTGAGATACATGATAATTTTGCCCAGAATTTTCGCTTTAGCAATTGGTGAAGAATGAGCTATATTTAATATTTGATTTAAAAATTTTTAAATATAACTCGGGTACTTACTCAAATATTCAAATACTTGATGCCTAATTCAATAAGTATTAGGTAATTTGTGAATATATATTTGTGTATTTAGAAGTTGTTATTGCTATATATATTATGTGATTGACTTAAAATTTGTTATTTATACGAATTATTATTATATATGTGATTTATTTAACTTGTAAGTTTTACTTTGATTTTTTATTTTATTATTTTAATTTTTAAAAAATATTATTATTATATAAAATTAAGTATAATAAATATATATAAAATTTTAATTATACAAATACAGATAATAAGTTAATTAAATAAGTTGATCAAAGAAATCAAGTAAATAGTATAATTTGTTACTTGACTTGATCCTTACGAAAATATTGTTTTCATACTCATCACTTACCTAATTTTTTTACAATTCAAATATAATTATCTAAGACATGTAAGGTATTTGCAAAATAATGGTATAGTGTGCCCAATGCTCACCCCTAATGAAATCTTGATGGGGTTTCAAGTTTCATTCACCCATCCATTTAAGCCCAGTTTATACGTCCCGAAGCTGAAGTGCAAGTAAAATTTTGCGAATACTAGCAATAGCAAACTGGAAGACGTAATTACCAGTGAATCTATCCAACAAATTGATTCGACAAGAAGGCCCTTCCAGATAAAATACAACCTCTGGGTCATCAAGAAGCAATTTTTAAACTGAGTGGCAGGTGGCTCAAACATTTGCAGGTTGCATATTATATTGCTTTTTACCACCAATAAAAGTATAATTGGATTAGTATTTACTAACTTAAAAATTTTAATTTAAAAATCAGAGTAAGGTGATATCAAATAATTAACTCTATGATATATCAATATCAAATAATTAACTTTCTGATATATCGATATCAAATAACTAACTCTCTGATGTATCAAAAAAATATAATTACGTATAATAATTACTTTCCTACAATAACAAATTTTAACTATAATTAATATTTTATATATTTTAATAATTATACAAATGTATAATCATTTTCCATATAATTATAAAATACCAACATAATTTTTATAATTTTTTACAATAGCACAATACAGTAAAGGCCGCGGCCAGGGCACCACATGTACAAACACCACATTCTGTATGAAGAGACTCCACTCTCTTTATTGGATAATAACTGCAAGGATTACTTAGAGATCAATGGACAATACCAATGGCGAGTCATCCTTGTCAACGACAAAAGTTTTTGTAACCTTCTTGGAGCCAGAACCCACTTCCACTTCATATGTCCCATGAAAGCCTCTAAATTGGAACTGTCCTTGTTCATTGATATGGCCATGAGAATTAGTTAACCACTCTTGTTTCACAGAAAGGAGTCTTTTGCCAGCTTCATTGATGTCACCTTCTGCATTCACCAAGCATGAATTGTCCCTGCTCATGAACAATTCCCAGAATCCCCAAAGCATTATGCCATCCACAGCGGGATGGGCGAAAGCTTCACGAAGCATTACTTCCATGTCCTGCCCTCTAATGTATTCATTGTTGGAAGACACATCAAGCTCTGTAAACCAGATTGGTAGACCAAGGATAGCCAGTTTATCTAAAGAAGAGGAAACAACGGGTCCTACAGGACTATCTATGTGTCCCTGAACTCCAATCCCTCCAACAGGTGCTCCTTGCTCTTGCAAATCAAGAATATGCGCAATGTACTTTTCGGGACATGCTTTGGGGTCACATCCATCCTCAACATGGTAATCATTCACAAATAAGGTGGCAGATGGATCCAGCTGATGCGCAGTCTTGAACATGTTTGCTCGGATATCTTTGCCTAATCGGTCTTGATAAAATGATCCATGCAGCATCTCATTGTTTACATCATAATGCGTGAACTTTCCCTTGTAACGTGTGAGGAGACCTGTTAGACGATTTTGAACAGCGGTCATCAAGTCATTTTTGTTGAGTGATTTAATCCATGACTGGACTGCAGACTCCACTTCCCAGAAGATACAATGACCTCGAGCGTCAATATTGTGGCTTTGACAGAAAGCCAACAAGTCATCCGCATCCTTATAGTTGAAGTTTCCTTGTTGTGGCTCTGTCCAATACCACTTCAATTCATTTCCAAAAACAGCCCAGTTGAAGTGTTTCACAAAGAAATCAACAAAATCTTCATTGTCTATGTTTGTTCTGCTTATGCAAGACCCAATGGGGAAGCTATTTTGAGTCTGTGTCACACGCAGAGAGGTTCCAACCAAACTGCTTGAGTCTGCTCTAGAGAACTTGAGGATGACATCACGCTTACGGTTCTGCATCACAGCATAATAAGACTAATTCAATATATGAATTAGGCCAAGTACCTGAAACACACAAGATTTAGGAGCTCCTGTCTCTCCAATAAACAGTCAGTGAGATGACTGAAATGTTGCTTGTAACAATGTCATACCATAACATTAAAGAATGAAAATACAATACAAAGACACAATGGCCAATTAGGAGATATCAAATTTCCAGTTTTTTATTTTTATATTTCATTTTTGCCGTATATGAGCAGAGACCATAGAAAAAGCCAGCAATACCTTATCAGTTAGCCTTGCCAAATGCTTAAACCTTGACACTCGATCAACTGGGAAAATTTGAAGTCCAGCAAGCATTAGATCAACACCTGGAGCAGGACCCTGGACATAAACCATAACCTTGGATGGTTGCTTCTCAATTCTGAAGGAACCACCAATTTCATGCCATATATCATCGTTTATCTCAACCTGCCCCCCATTTACCCACTGGCTGTCCACGCCAAGTGCAACATTCACATTTTGGGGACCACTTGCTCCTTTACCAATTCGAACCCAAGCAGAGACTTGGTATGTCAAGAAGAGCTTCAGCTTGTCAGTGATTATTTGAGCAGGGCCCATCCAAGTTTGTGTGCGGTTGGTCACAGTGATATAACGGCCACTTAATGGTCCATGAACTCCAAGGGATTCTCTGGCCATTGGAGGGAGTATGCGTGGTGAGCCAGTTGCAACGCTCAAATTGCAGTTACCAAGAGGAAACCACCCATTGGTGCCATCAGTTAGTTCGCTGTTTGTAATTATATTGACTCCATAAGCAGGATTCTACAAAAGAAAAACAAAAATATGCTTTCTTGCATCAGTTATGTTTTTAACTCTAAAAAAGCATGCATCACTCCAGTTTCTGATACTTTCTACAGTAGCAAAAAGAAAAAAATCTTAAGTCCAAATTGAAATTAGTTAACTTACCTCAATAACTGGTGGAGGTGAAGGAGGTGTTTTCCCTGCATGTTTTACAACAAAGCTATTGACAAGAATGTCAGTGCCTGGGGGTGGACCTTCTACATAAATCACAACTTTTGATGCAGAACCATTTAAAAGGAACTTTCCTTTCAATTGTATCCAATCTTTGTCCGTAGCCTGCACACTATGATATTAGAGGAAAAAAAAAAACCTTTCTTTCAGCAAGTTTGAAATTTCAAGGGGAACTGCTAGTTGCAAATAAATAAAGCGAAACGTGCTCAACAAAAAGCAAAAAGGATCAAGGCATGATCCCCTATATCCATATATGAGACATTTAATGATAATCAAGGATTTAAGATTGTGACAGAAACCCTATCCAGGGAAAATGAATACATGGGGAGACATTTTTTCAATATAATAAGAAAAGAACTAATAATGTGTGAATCTGAAAGAGGAAGAAACTCACTTGGAAATGACAATGTACTGGTCTCGGCGACCTGGTGCTTGGACATATAAAGTGGCCTGCACAGTGGCATTTGTGACATTGTTACCATAAATACGTACTACAGTTGTTACATCATAAGCAAGCTTTCGCTGCACTCTTGCAGTGATCTCCTGCTGGAGTCCATTCCAGGTTTGTGTGCGTTCTGTTGCAGCTGCAAAAACCTTTCCAGTTTGTGGAACTATTTTCCCATCCGCCATGGAATCGTGTAAAACAATCTTGCAACCATTTGCTGACCAATTATTGAGGCCATCCTCAAAGTTGGGGTTCAGGATGATGTTCTCATCTCCAGCAGCAACACATGCCATTCTCGTAATCTTTTATTATGAGAAGAAAATGCACCCAAATAAGCAATGGCTGAATGGCAGACTTAAAAAAATGAAGATTGCTTACACATGTTAAACAAAACTCGTACCTCTTCATTGCCATTTCCAATTTCCGTAGGTGGGTTCTCCATAGTTTCTTCAGATCTCTAACAAAACACCATAAAACATAAATCGAGATTGCTTGTTTCAGAAAACTACGAAATGGGTAGATATCAAAATGAAAATCTCTCGTTTTGATGAGGGTACCTGAGAATGAGGATGAGGATGCTTCTGCTTTCGATTGGTTTTGGAAACTCGAGCTGTGAGGCAGCAAGCGGAAACCCTCTTCATTTATATCCACCGGAGAGCTTCAGTCTTCAAGTGGAGTCCAAGAAACAACGCGGGTCCGACCAACTAACCCACCCATCAAAGCGCACTTCTGGCTAACAATGCCGTTAAATCACTTCTGTCGGGGTTAATCTAAACATAAAGATCACTCATCCTCTGGAACTAAACTTCTAATCCCAACAAAACCACTGTTCTTGCCCTGTTTTCTTCATTTCCATTTTCATTGATTTTTCATTTTGATTTTAAAATGCCTTATGTTGTATTTGCTTAATCTTGCAGATGGGTTTAACCCTCAATTTGCATCTACGCTTGAATTGTAATAGAAGGTTTCAATTTTCAAAGGGTTTAGGGTGGGAGTGGTTGATGAACGTCAAATCATATATGCCCAAAATTTTGAGTTACAGACAACGTTGCCACCGTCCTTATAATATTGATGTTAATTTTGGAACTTAATTGATGCTTCCACTGCAAGGCAAATAGTTCTTTGATTCCTGCGGATTAGGTGAGGAAGGGGCTACCATCCTCTGAAGATTTAACAAAAATTTCAGGTGATAGACTAGGTAGGAATCATAGCTACATATATAGTATCTTCCACTTAGGTTGTCCCCTCCCTCAAAGCTAACCCAATTAATGTTCTGGCTAAGCATTATGCAATGTGGTGTTAATTTAAGGAAATCAAGCGTCTTGAAGTGGAAAATCAGATGATAACAAGGAGAAAATTGAAAGCTCTCTGAATTGTAATTATTAAGGATTAGATCATTAATATCAAACCTCAAAGTTCTAACATTCTTTGATAATGAAGTCTAGGAAGCTTTCAGAATTCTGAGAAACTATAGATCAATTGTAAACAACAGTGGACACTGACCCTTTTCAACAACAAATGTCTTGTTAAGTTTTCCGGTAGGGGAACTGATTTCCACGTTGTATGTTCCATAAAAGCCTCTGAATCTAAATTCACCTAGTGCATCAATATGCCCATTAGCATAAGACAACCATTCCTTCTTCAGAGCAAGGTACCTCCTGCCAGCTTCATTGATTTTACCTTCTGCATTTACTAAATATGCATTTTGCCTGGACATGTACAGCTCCCAAAATCCCCACAGAATTATGCCTTCCACTGAAGGATGGGCGAAAGCTTCGCGTAGCATTACCTCCAGATCATCTGCTCTAACGTACTCATTGGTGGAAGATACATCAAGTTCTGTAAACCAGATTGGAAGACCGAGAGTACCAAGTTTATCCAGAGCAGAACGAACAATAGGCCCCACTGGACTTTCAATGTGTCCTTGAATTCCAATTCCCTCCACTAGAGCACCTTGCGATTTCAGATCAAGAATTTGTTGTATGTATTTTTCTGGGGATGATCTAGTATCAGATCCATCCTCGACGTGATAATCATTCACAAAAAGGGTGGCAGATGGATCCAGTTGGTTTGCCATTTTGAACATGTTTGCTTGGATATCTTTACCCAGTCTGTCTTTGTAAAAAGATCCATGAAGCATCTCATTATCAACGTCATAATGCTTAAATTTTCCCTTGTAACGCATTAGAAGGTCTGTTAGATGCTTCTGAACAGCTGTTAGCAAATCACTTCCATTAAGCGATTGAACCCATGATTGAACTGCATACTCCATTTCCCAGAAGATGCAGTGACCTCGAATTTCCAAGTTATAGTTCTCACAGAAGTTTAAGAGATCATCTGCATCCTTATAGTTTAAGATACCTTGTTGGCGTTCTATCCATGGCCACTTTAGTTCGTTTCCAAACACAACCCAGTTAAAATTCTTCACTAAGAAATCAACCAAGTGCTCATTGTCTATGCTAGCCCTGGTTATGCATGATCCAAATGGAAAACTGTTTTCTGCCTGTTTCACTTCCACAAAGTTGCCAGTAACATTGCTGGCTTCAGATCCTGAGAACCTTAGGATGACATTACGCTTACGTATCTGCATAGAAACAAAACTAGTTTTCCATATTAGAACTTTATATCACTATGTGAGGAGTGAAAAGAAATATCTTCAATTTAAATATTGAGGCTCCACCTACATTTCAATTTGCTGTTAACACATACCATGAATAGTAATTGATAACCATAAAATGGTATGCAATCAACAGGGAAGTAAAGCACAATAAAACACTTGACTGTGACAATATCCGATGCTGTATGAAGAGTCACTCTGACACCAAATAGAACCAAGTCATTTGCTCAAAAAACCATCTATTACTTTGCATTAAGCAGATTCCTTTTTCTAGCAAAGTAGCAATAGAAAATTAGCAAATATAACAAGAATTCTCCTTTATAAGTAATGGTGTGACTGATGTAATTTGTTGATATGGAACAAGAGAGCAAAATGCATCTAACTTAGCTAAATCATACTTCCACAGTGATATGTGTTAAATAAAAGGCAATTAAATGACAAATTAAGTATTCAATTCTAGACCAGCATATTGAAAGAAACTTTTTCCTTTTTCCCTTTTGATCAAACCCCATGAATGTTTTTCTAGCAATTACCTTATCGGTTTGCCTTTTCAAAAATCTGAACCTTGCCTTCCGGTCAACAGGGAAGATCTGAAGCCCAGAAACCATTAAGTCAACACCTGGAGCAGGGCCCTGGACATAAACCATTATTTTAGATGGCTGCTTCTCAATCCTGAATGAACCACCAACTTCATGCCACACATCATCATTAATCTCAACTTGGCCCCCGTTAATCCATTTTCCATCCACACCAAGTGCAACATTAACTATCTGAGGACTAGTTGATCCAGGACCAATCCGTACCCAAGCAGATACTTGATATGTTAAATAGAGTTTCAATCTGTCAGTGATCATCTGTGCTGCACCCATCCAACTATCTGTGCGATTTTTTGCAAGAATATAACGGCCACTTAATGGTTCATGAGGTCCTAGGGATTCAATTGCCATTGGAGGAAGTTGAAGTGGTGAACCAATCCCAATGCTTAAAGCACAATTGCCAAGAGGAAACCACCAATTGGTTTCATCTTCAAGATCACTGTTTTCAATTATATTCACTCCAAAAGGTGCATCCTACAGATACCATCAACAAAAGAAAAGGATAATTAACATTCAAGTAACAACTTAAACGAATGTATGTAAAGATTCAACCAACATATGCTGTTTTATAAGATTGTATATGCATTCTGAATCAATACATGCAAGTTTTTTCTTTTAAAAAAAAAATCCCAAAAGTCAGCCATATGTTCAACTGACCTTCATGGCTGGACGAGGTGGACGAGGTGTCTTCTCTGCATGCTTCACAACTAAACTACTTATGAGAATATCAGTGCCAGGAGGTGGACCTTCTAGAAATATTATTACTCTTGATGGGGCACCATTAAGTAGAAGCTTCCCCTGCAATTGCACCCAGTCATTTTCTGTTGCCTGCGTACTTCAGCACAAACTAGTTTCATTTAGGAGCTGTGAAGGGAAGTACCAATATCAGATACAAAATAATAAGAATAATAATAATAAAATTGTAACCAAATATAAAGAGATATGTATCTTCTCCAAGGATATAAGACACATTACATATTTGATGGTAATGATCATGCTTTCCTAATGCATCTAACAAGTAACATAGTTGTAAGGTGAAAGTGAACACTAAAAAAAAAAAAAAAAAAAAGCGCTAAAATCTAATTAGCGCTTAGAATGATAATTTTCCCTGTAATCATGCACAGGAAACTTTGAATAAACATATAAGATCAAGGTAAAGGGACTAACATGGCAATTTTGATGTACTGTTCACGCATATCTGGGCTCTGAACCCACAAGGTGATCTGTACATCAGCACTGGCAAGATTGCCGCCATATATCCGAACTACAGCAGTAACCTCATAAGCAATATTTGTTTGCACTCTTCCAGTGATCTCCTGCTCAATCCCATTCCAGCTTGCGGTACGATTTGTTGCAGAAGCAAAGAACTTTCCATATGGAGGAAGGACATTTCCATCTCCCATGGACTCGTATAAAAAAATGTTGCAGCCTTTACCAGTCCAATTACTAAGGCCATTCTCAAATCTTGGGTTTAATATGATGTTATCACTACCAACTTTTAGTCGACCCTCGCTTTTACTCTGAGCAAAGAGGGAGGAAATTCATGAACAAAACCATACTACAATCATATGCCAAATGCATAGTCGAAAACCAAACCAATGTTGCTAATACCTGATTTCCAATCGGCACACAAGGGTCTGATTGCACTTGCCGTCGTCCGTTTACCCTTAAAACTGCCTGTGAATTAGGTGGAAGAGCCGTTTCGACGGTGAGTCCCAAATGCACAACAAGAACAGAAAGAAGAAGGAGATGAGGGAAAGACGAGAACCCCATGAGAGTGTGAGCTCTGAAAATGGGTCTGTGTCCATCCCATTCGGCAAGCAAGAAAAAAGAAGGAAACTTTCCATTAAAAATTTTTCCGTGAAGAGAAATTTATTATTTAAGTGTGGAAGTTGGGATCACGAGCAGAGAAAAGTTATGGAAGAAGGGATTAAAAACGTTAAATGGTAATGTAGATGAATGAGGAGCACTTGCACTGTGGAAACAGCCTCTGTGTATTCCACTCAGCTCTCAGCTTTACAACAACTCCAGCACTTCCATTGTTGGAGACGCAGCGCCAAGTGGGTGGACGGTGGTGAGTGCCGGCGGGGGCTGGGTTGTCACTTTGTGGAACATGATGGACCTTGGCCCTTAATCTCAAAATGGATTTGTATTTTGTTTGTTACGGTTTTCCACTCCATGGGCTTTTGAGCTTTGCGGCCTTTGTCTCATCTCATTCTGGGCTAAGAAAGAACTAAGAGCCTAAGCGGCTATTGGCTAAGCCCATATATGACCCAACCTCAAATGCTAGAAAAATTCAATCCTCTCGTTAGGGGTTGGCATTGAGTACTGAGCACATTCCCTTTTTTGGTATAACTGAGTGTATTAAAAAAAGTTATGAATATTTTACTCGTTTAGATAAATGTTATAGTTAAATTATTAAAAAAAAGTAAATATTAGGTATAAAAATAATATATTCATAAATATTAAATTAAACGACAAATATAAGAATTTAAAATTACTTATTTGATTTATTTAACTAACTTATTTAACTTATTTATTACTTATATTTGTATAATTAAAATTATATATATTTTATACTTAATATTTATATAACAATAATAATAATTGTTAAAAATAAAAATAATTAAATTAAAAAAAATAAAAATTTAGTAAGACTTAGGAACCAAACAAATCATACATATAGTAATAATATGTTGTATAAATAATAAATTCTAAATTAAACACATAATATACGTAATAATAACATTACATATTAAACATTTTCTTTTTTCAAATTAAGTATATAAGTATATACATGTAAATTACTTGTTACACCAATGACCTGTTAGTTCAAATAGAAAGAACTTAGTTCTCTTTAAGTAAAATCTGAAATTTGACTCTTATAAATGGAGAAACAAGTACTAAGAGAGTTTCGCCTCAAATGAAGTTCGATGAGATTCAATTCCAAATTAATCAAGATCCAATATGTTACTTGATACCGAGAGGTTAGTAAAAAAAAAAAATAAATTACCCGTTACTTGTTAAGTTAAATACTAAGTATAAATTTTTGAGTATCCAAATAAATACCAGTCTTAAAAATTATATCTAAAATTTTTT